ATACTCAGTTTACTTGTTGATTTAATTGTTGTGTTGATTGTTCTTGGGTGTCCTAAATATGGCTCTTTGGAGACCTTGGGAAAATGCTCCAAGCCACAAGGAGATGGTTGATGAACCTGTGCAGGCAGAATTCTTTCATAAAGATTTAGAGGAACAGACCCAAAGAGTAATCCTAAATATGTATGATTGTCGGTCTACCATTTATCGGGTTATAAAAAGGGGAGATGTAGTCAACCATTCCTTCCACAGAAAGCGCATACGGCAAAAATTAAAAAGAATAGACGTGGGTTTTCAGGAAGATATTCGTAGTATAATATACGGATTTTATAAAGAAAATTTGGTGCCCACGTTGGAAATGATACGGGATGAATTAAAAGATTATCCTGAAGATTTTTATAATTACAAATGCTTAGACTCACTGCACTGTATTGTAAAACTGTGTGGTTTTCAATACAAAAAATTAGATAAAAGAATGGTGATTATGGAGTCGTCTCGAATCGTTGAATTGCGCCAAGAATTTTTGCACAAAGTTAAAATCTATAGAGAGCAGAAAATAAATCTGATTTACCTGGATGAAACGTGGTATGATACCCATGATGATGAAAACGAATCATTATTCTCTATGCTGGGAGTGAAAATTTATTTATACCTAATGCCTTGCTGTTATCTGCCAAAAATATCAAAGAATCATGTGCCGACTATCATGAGGACATGACCTCCGACTTATTTGAAAAGTGGATAGAGCAGCAGTTAATACCAAACATTTCCCCAAATTCAGTGATTATTATGGACAATGCGCCATACCATTCCCGACAGAAAAACAAAATTCTGAATACAGGCACAAAAAAACAGACATTATTGATTTTATAAAGGATAAGGGAATGGAAATACCACAAAAATCAACCAAAGCCATATTATTGGATCTTATTAAAAGACAAAAATTTGAAAAAGAGTATGTTGTTGACAATCTGCTTCAGCAAAATGGCCATGAAGTATTACGTCTACCTCCCTATTACTGCATTTTTAACCCGATTGAGTTGGTCTGGGCTGCTTTAAAAAAAAAGTAAGAAAACATAACCAGACCCCTCAATTAAGTGAATCGCTATTGGCCACAATAAGAGATGCAGTATCTCATATTGCTGCCACAGACCTATGGAAGCAGTGTTCTAGGCATATTATTGAAAAAGAAAATGAATATTGTGTTTTGCCTCCTGTAAATCCCGTTGTAATTCCTCTACAAGATGACTCTAGCGACAGCTCCGAAGGCGAGGATGATATATAAATACCTATAATGTAAGTCTTTTTATATACCTACCTGCTATGTAAATATTTGCCTATGTCAAACGTTGGAATTCTGTAATTTTTCCATTTCTTAACTTTCAGTCAACATAAATTAAACTCCCAATATAAGTATTTTTTATCCCTAATCAGAAAAATAAGAAGATAGTAAAATCCATTTATTGTGATATAAAAACATTATTATTATCGTTCTAAATAAATGACCGCACGCCTATGATACGTCATGAAATTACAAAGGACGCGCCGACCAAAGGTTTTTATGCTATTTCAAGTGACTTCAGATAAAGTATAGATTAATCGATTTGCCGCTACAGAGAATTGGTGTGTTAGCGATAAACAGTATAAGATTTTTATTTGTATTAGGAGGGTCATTCACGTATATTAAAAATAAAAGTGGTCCCAGCACAGAACGCTATGGGACGCCACATGAAACTGTTTACAGAAGAAGCTATTGCTACTGTAAAGCGTAGTATTGAGGAAGACTCGAATGAGTCCATCCGCCATGGAGCACAGGAATTGGATCTGTGTCAATCCACTTTATGGAAGATTTTGCGGAAGGATCTTGGTTTGCGTGCTTACAAAATCCAACTCGTGCAAGAATTGAAGCCAAACGATCATCAAGCAAGGCGTAGATTCGTTGAATGGGCCCAAAACGAGATTGCCGTTGTTCTTGATTTTCATAAGCGAATTTTGTTTAGCGATGAAGCGCACTTCTGGTTGAATGGCTACGTCAAGAACCAAAACTGCCGCATTTGGAGTGAAACTAATCCTCAAGTCAATGTCGAAACACCGTTACATCCAGAAAAACTGACTGTTAGCTGCGCTTTATGGGCTGGTGGAATCATTGGTCCGTACTTCTTCAAAATCGATGATGCCCAGAACGTTACAGTCTACTAACTTTTTCATTCCTGAATTGAACAATCATAATGTCCAGGAGCTGTGGTTCCAACAAGACGGCGCAACATGTCACACTGCTCGTGCTACAATCGATTTATTGAAAGACGCGTTTGGTGACCGCCTAATTTCACATTTTGGACCTGTGAATTGGCCTCCAAGATCTTGTGATTTAACACCGCTAGACTAGTTTCTGTGGGGATATGTCAAGTCATTGGTATATGTGGATAAGCCACAAACGCTTGACCATTTGGAAGACATCATTCGCCATGTTATTGCCGATATACGGCCACAAACGTTGGAAAAAGTCATCGAAAATTGGACGTCTAGATTGGACTACATCCGAGCCAGCTATGGCAGTCATATGCCAGAAATCATATTTAAAATGTAATGCCACAAGATTATCTTTCGAATACAAAAAATTAATGTCAATCGAATAATCCATCGTTGTTTTATTGCAATTTAAAGTTCTATACCTCTAAAAAAAACACCCTATATATGTCTTGCTGAAGGTTGCAAGCTGTTAATCGTTGCTGAAATGAGATGACAAGAGCTCAGTGCTACTGCTATGGCACTGGCATGCGACAATTTTTGTAGAAGAACCACTGAATGGGGAAGTAGGTAGACAAGTGCAAGTCTCTAAGATTAAAGTGTGGTAAACGCTGCGTGCTAATGTATTGTACCCTTTTGTACGAGACCTCCAAGTTGACGACTTTCCTGCAAGAGTGAGTATTTGTGAGTGGCTGTTTCAGTCCATATTAATCACAGACGAACCAACCTTCACGCGTAACGGTCAATAACTTCCGATATACTCATGTGGTCACTGGAAAATCCTCATCATTCGGAAACATTTTCAACAAACATCTTTGAATATACTAAGTGACATATAAATCACCCAGTTTAAATGGTTTTATTTTAATAAAAGTTGGTGAATGTATTTATCTTACTGTATATAACAAGTGAAAAAATGTTCAGCCTTATCAGTTGGACATTCCGGTTTTTATACTGTTTTTTTTTAATTCACTAACGCTCTAAAAATAAATATTTCAGCCGCAGTAAAGAATCAACGTTGACGGATTTTGGTTCTTGACATCCTTTACGATCGATTACGATGCCTAGAGTACGGAGACCTGTACGATTTCGTCAACTTAGTGAGTTTGATAGGGGCCGTATAGTGGGACTTCGGGAAGCTGGACTTTCTTTTCGGGCAATTGCAGTTAGAGTGCAAAGAAGTGTAGACACTGTGGTTAGGTGTTGTCAGGCATGGCTTCGAGAAGGCCGTACGCAAAGAGCAAGGGGCACGCCGCCGTAGAACAACAGACCGTGAAGATCGCCGCCTAAGATTATTGGCCTTAAGGGACCGTTTCTCCACTACCAGGTCCATTGCGAATGAATGGTTTGCAGAACACGGAAGACCTATTGGCATGCGAAGTGTTTACCGACGAATGAGAAGTTTTGGGTTCTTTTCATACCGGCCACACTGGGTCCTCCCTTTAACTCGAGAACACCGACGTAATCGCCTTGAGTGGTGCAGACAACGGTCACTCTGGGATCAGGAATGGAACAGTATTGTCTTTAGTGACGAGTCTCGATTTTGTTTAGGCATGCACGATGGTCGTGCCAGGGTTAGAAGGCGACGTGGTGAAAGGAGGAATCCACAGTTTTTTGTTGAAAGACATGTTCATCACACTGTTGGAGTTCTGGTTTGGGGTGCTATAGCTTATGGTTCCAGGTCTCTTTTAATCTTCATCAGAGGTAACATGAACGCGCAGCGTTATATCTACGAAGTTCTAGAACCCCATCTTTTACCGTATCTTGACACCCTGGCAGATCCAACTTTCCAACAAGATAATGCCCGACCACATGTTGCAAGAGTCACAATAGACTTCTTTCAACATAATGATGTCACATTGTTACCATGGCCACCAAGATCTCCCGACTTATCCCCAATTGAGCACGTGTGGGATATGATGGGTAGGAGATTGCTCAATTTGCAACGTCCTGCTCAGACTCTAGAAGCACTTCGAGAGGAGTTGGTGGTTGCCTGGAATGAGATACCACAGGAGGACATTGACCACTTGATCAGAAGCATGCCTAGGCGCGTTGGAGAATGCGTAGCACATCAGGGTGCATCCACATATTATTAAAGGTCAAAGGGCTTTAAAGCAGTGCAATCATTTTGAAATTTTTATCATTTACTTATTACGCTTCATTAAGTACTTATACAAAATTTTATTAGAATAAAACCATTTAAACTGGGTGTTCGGATTTATATGTCACTTAGTATATTTGGGCTGGCATGGTAAATTGCATACTCATTGGACCGTTTATTTCCTTAAAGCGGCTGGACGGTTTACAATAAATAATGAAACACTTTACCAGTGATGACAACTTCGAACGGTAGGATGCCAGTCTCATCACTTAATTTACAGACTAAAGGTATTCTTAGGTCAATTTTAGTCTCTAGTATCTCCAGTTTAGAGATTTCCCAATCTTTCGCAGACACCCTATAAGTGACAGAACCGTACTTGAAATTTCTTGCAAATGTACACTGAGTACTTTTTCATTTATTGTTTTTTTACTTTTTAGCTATTCTTAATCGACACACTAGCTTTATTATTTCAAGCGTAGTTGTTTTGGAAAGGGGAAGTCTCAACTTCCAGGACACCATGCATATCTAAATTTGTTGGTTCTATTCAAGAACAAAATCTCGAATCACACGTTGGAAGCAAACATTTTTTGAATGCGTTCACGATTAGAGCGAATTTTGACAAAAATACTGTAACTTTCCTAAGCCTTGCACTTACGTCATATTCTTCTGGGAACTCCTCCAACTTTTCATAGCCAGTAGGATCTTCGGAAAAGATGCCCACCAATTTCTTACGTTGTAAAGCGAAAAGTAGGAGCTTGATATAATCAGTCCTTAGCTTTTCTCTACCCATGTCTGCGTCTTTGATTTTCCTAACCCATGCTGAAGCTAGAACTCGATCTGTAGAACAAACGTGTGTTAATAACGGGCTTAGGTAGACAAAACATAAACATAAGTACGTCGGTAAAGCTTGGTGAAATTAAAAAAGTCGAAGTAAGTATATACCCAAACTTATTTAAAACTGAGTACTTTAGGAAAAAGCGCCTGTGGTTCTTCTATTCCAGTAACCGGAAGTATCCAGACTCGTCATGCTAAATGAAAAATGACTTGAATTTGAGGCTTTCATGGTTCAAAAATTTCAGTAATTTAACTATGTGCCGAAATAACGATCTTAGAAGCACCTTCTTAAGATATACCTTGAGCTTCTGGTAGGTTGAATATGAGAGGTCTCGCAAGCCTGATGTAGAAGTCCATGTTATTTTTGCCCTGCTGCTGGGCTGGTTGCGCGTCACCCATTTTTCAGGATTTTTTCATAATTATCAAAAACTACACGTAGAATTTTGACCTCAACATCGATGAAATAAAACTAAACGGTATTAACACATTACAATTTTGACAGCTTTGATCTTTGGTTGACGTTTACACTGTTGATCAGTGGACAAAGTGTATATGGCAGACACTTATTTGCTAGCTGAAGAATTTGTGCAATAGTCTAATCATATTAGCAAAATTTTCCTGAAATAATTTTAAAGTCTGATTTTATTGATGCAAGTTATTCAAGGGGGTATTTAAAACATGGACGCATAAAATGGGTATAACAATTTTTGTGAGAAAACTTTTTATTTGACAACAAACAATGTTTTTTGGGATTCAATGGAAAGTATTGACAGGAACAAAAAACCTTTTATATAAAATGTTTAGGTATTTATGAAACCTACAAAATGAAACCACATGTAAAAAGATCCGACTAATAGCAAAAATGTTATGGCCGAAAAACCAGACAAAATGCAGGTTTTGGCACTTGGTGGTAATGCGACGATAATCTCACACAACTACTTGAAATTCTACAAATCCGTAGGATTCATACTTCTAAATAACAACAACGAAATTGGATTATATTGGTCAAGTAATTTTTTGAGAATTTCTAATTGTTTATCCCAAAACACCTGTTTTCCGGCCATCACTACTAGTTTACTGAGCAATATACAGGGTTCGTTCAAAGAGCATTTAATAGCTAAATACACGTGTTCACCTTGCCGATATGAATCACAAACCATTCCGAATGTTATTTTTATTCGAAAAACAAAGGTTACGTTTTTTCTTCTAAACAAATTCAAACATTTCGTATTTTTGAGTAATTGAACAAATGCTAACGTTATTCAATCCCTACTGAGTGGGGCCGTGGCAAATGCTTGTTCCGAAAGCTGTTGTATCCAGTATACAACTTCTTCCCGTTCAAGTGATTGTCCAAGCGTTAAGGAATACCTCAGTACCGATTGCCGGGTGGCGGTACAAGTCCGCCAACGGGCCACTTTAGGTCTATTTAAGATCACTAACATGTAAAAAGAAGGTGGTAGACAAGGACCAGTTGACCGAGGCAGTACCACCTGCTCGCTTTTCCCAGGGTGTCTTATAAATGTCCGCATGTTTCCACACCTAAGCTATGCAGTCGGTTATCCTCCAGAACAAAGAAATTAATGATTAATGCACCGATTAACCATCTTAACTTCCCAAACTACGAGGTGCACTCCAATCTGAGAAAGAACGGGGGAGTTGTGGCTTTTGTCCGCAGCAGTCTTTCCTGCTCCAGAGATGTTTCTTTGGAATCAGACCGGAAGCACATTCTGTGGCTTCGCCTCAACTCCAAAACATCACCCAAATTTATTTGCTGCGTTTATCGCTCTCCCTTGGACCATAACTGGGGGGGGGGGGCTTCCTGAATATCAATTATCCCGCTTCAAAGGTAGTTCTTCTCGGTGATTTCAATGCCCATAACGAGCTTTGGTTGGGCTCAAACAAGACCGACGCAGCAGGTCGTGCAGTCGAAGCGTTCGCTCTTACCCAAGGGCTGACTCAGCTGGTGACGAGTCCTACTTTTTCCCCAGCGTCTCGTCTCACGCCAGTAGCCTGCTGGATCTCTTTCTGACCACGCATCCTGCCCCTTACAGCACTGCTGTCCTGTCCCCCCTGGGTAACTCAGACCACGGTGTTGTGGAGGTTAGGTTTCGGTCAGAACCCGCTATGGCAGCAGAAACTCGTACAGGCCGCAAAACTTGGCATTACGGACATGCCAACTGAGAGGGGCTCAGAGATTTCTTCTCTAGCTTTCCTTGGAAAGATATGTTTCACTGACGCGGCTGTCTGTTCTTCGATAACCGAAATTATCCACGTCGGAATGGAGGAATACATCCCTCACACAGTGAAAGTGCCTAGACCAGGGTCCAACGGCTGGTTTAACAAATCGTGTGACGCTGCTCGCCAGCAGAAGATCAAGGCACACAGAACTTTCTTACAAAACCCCACTGTAGGGAACAGACAAGCCAACGTTGAGTCCAGAAACAAATATAAAGCAGCGGTTCGCAATGCCAAAAATCAGCATGATATAAAAGTTAGGCACAGGGTAATGTCGCAACGCAATGGCAGTCGGTCTCTCTGGACGCTGGCCAAGCAGATTGAAAAGAACTTCTCACACAGTAGCCTTCCACCACTTACGTGTCAGGATGGAACTATTGTATTCAACTCAAAGGCCAATGCGGAAGTGCTAGCCAAGATCTTTGCTGCCAAATCCACCATGGACGTCCCCCCAACGCCCAAGTGCCGTCAATTCAAAGGGTTCCCTACACTATGCGGAAGGTAACATTCAGGCATAAGACCCTTAGGGGGGTCTTGTCGCTTGACATCAACAAAACTTCTGGTCCGGACTTGATTTCTGCCATTGTACTGAAGAGGTCTGCACCGGAGCTTGCTCCAGTTCCTTCGCGTCTCGTCCAGATATCTTATGAATCCGGCACCTTCCCAAAAAACTAGAAATTTGCTCATGTCCAACCCATCCCAAAAAAGGGATCTAAGACCGACCCTTATAACTACAGGCCTATAGCTCTGGTTTCTGTTTTAAGTAAGGTGATGGAGAGGTGCATAAATCGCGAGCTTCTGGACTACCTCGAACGTCACGGCTTGATTAGCGACAGGCAGTATGGTTTCCGGCACCAACGATCCACAGGGGACCTCCTAGCTTACGTCACTCAATTGTGGAGTAAACTCATCCAGTCTTATGGTGAGGCTCATGTCGTTGCTCTTGACATCACGAAAGCGTTCGATCAGCTGTGGCACGCTGCCCTCTTAAGCAAACTTCCATCCTATGGCCTCCCGGAAAAGCTTTGCAAATGGGTGGCTGACTTTATCTCTGGCCGCAAGATATCCGTCGTAACTGACGGGTTCTCCTCTTCACCCCACAACGTCAACCCGGGTGTTACTCAGGGATCGGTCTTGGCTCCAACACTGTTTCTTTTACATATCAACGACCTCCTTTCCTGCACGATCAACACAATCCACAGCTTCGCTGATGACAGCACTCTACATGCAGGAATTCAGAGTGACAAGCCGATCTCTGCCGCTGAGTTGGAAAAAAGAAGACTAACGATGACTTCCTCTCTGACAAGAGACCTGGAGGCTATCACTGCTTGGGGACGCAACAATCTTGTACAGTTCAATGCTTCCAAAACGCAGTACTGTACTTTGACGAACATAAAGCGTCCCTGCGCTCACCCGGTTTCGATGGATGGTCGACTTCTGCCAAAGAGCCATTCATTTCGGCTGGTCGGAGTCCAGATCACCGAGGACCTGATCTGGTACGAAAACATCTCGTCAATAGCTGCAGCTGCTGGAAAAAAGCTAGGCTATTTGTTTAGGGCTAAGAAGTACTTTTCTCCGCATGACCTTCTCACTCTATACAAGGCCCAGATAAGGCCTAGCCTCCAGTATTGCTCACAGATTTGGGGTGCTGCCGCCCCGACTACATTGTCCATGCTCGATGCTGTCCAGACGAGGGCGGTCCGACTGATCGATGACTCTTCTCTAACAGGGACTCCTTCGCACCGGCGGGCTGTCGGCGATCTGGCTCTTTTCTAGCGTTACACCAACGGGCTTTGCTCCTCAGAGCTCTCTTCCATGATGCCGTCGCGCGATGTGCCTGCCAGACAGACCCGCCTAACTTGGGCGTCCCATCCTAACCGTGTCAAACTTCGTACATCCGGCCGATACGACCGCTCCTTCGTCCCGAGGGTGTCGAGATTGTGGAACAATTTACAAGAGGAAGCTTTTCCCAGTTCTATTAACCTTAGGCAGTTCAAAAATCGTATTAATAAAATTTCCTACGGATCATCATAGCAGCCGCGGTGTTCCGGCATTTAAGCTTCTGCCTGCGCGGCTGCTTCGTCATAAAAAAAAATATGTTACTATACACATTTTAAAATAAAGCGGATGTGTCTGTCATCTTTTGTTGCGAATTACTCACCAAAACGAAATGTTTGAATTTGTTTAGAAGAAACAACGTAACCCATCCTTTTTGCGTAAAAATAACCTTTATCTTTCGGAATGGTTTGCGATTCATATCGGCAAGCTAATCTAGTGTATTTTGCTATAAAATGCTCTTTGAACTAATCCTTTAAATTGCTAGTAGTGATGGCCGGAACACAGATGCTATGGGATAAACAATTAAAAATTCTCAAGAACTACTTGACCAATCTACTCCAATTTTGTTATGGTTATTTAGAAGTATGAATCTTATGAATTTGAAGAAGTATCTGCGAGAAATCATCGTTGCATTACCACGTGCCAAAACCTGCAGTTTTTCTCGGTTTTCGACCATAACTTTTTTGCGATTAGTCGGATCTTGTTACATATGGTCTCGTTTTGTAGGTCTCATGAATAGCTAAAAGTCTTGTATAGAGAGTTTTTCTGTTCTGCCAACACCTTCGATTATTCCCGATTATTTGTTGTCGAATAAAAAGTTTTCCCACAAAAATTGGTGTACCCATTTTATGCGTCCATGTTTTAAATACCGCCTTGAACAACTTGCAGCAATAAAACCAGAATTTAGAATTATTTCGCAAACCAGGAGTATTTTCGTGATAGATATGATTAGACTACAACGATTCTAGTTTCCTAGAGCATCGGAAATAAAAATTGTTTAAATTTCGTTTTCACCTCCCACGTCGGTTTGTCGATCTACCTAACCGCTAATCCTTGGCCCTGTAGTTTTTGAAAATCGATCCAGTAGAGACAGGGAAGAGATCAAAAAACGAAAATAATGTTTGTTTCAGTAGCATCGGTTGTTAATCAGGTTAATGTGATACACAATACATTAACAGATTTTGTGCATACGAGGTCTGTAAATTAAGTGATGAGACTGGCAACATAGCGTTCGACTGGCAACAGTGGAGGCTTGGAGGGGAGACAGGGGAGCATGTGATCTTTCTTCAGTACAAGTTTGAACTCGCTACAGTCATTTGGTTATCCGTAGCGATTTTTTTGTGAAACAGTTTTTTCTACTGTGTTCCAAAAATGAGTGACATCAAATTCAAGCAACGCGGTGCTATCAGGTTTTGCTGCAGACTTGTTCACAGTGCAACGGAAACTCTTGC